TACCATGATTCAACCTCAACCAAACACGGTTCAGCCACACACGTCATAGCAGGGCCGTAGCCACGAGAAGTGAAATGGTCCGATTGCGAGCGAAGCACGAGCCCTGATGATTGGGGCTAGGGGGCCACCAAGGGCCCCAAGTCGGGAGTTCAGGGTTCCGGGGCCATTAAACTGTAATATTATTGTAAACCATTAAACTGTAATATTATTACATTAAGCCATTAAACTGTAATATTATTAACTAAGACCAATCAACACATAACATAAAACATGTACATATCAAAATTATTATGGTTAATCTCTCCTCATCGGTGCTTGCATAAAACGTGATTTGGATCTAACATGATGATATTGATAAACAATCAAAATTCTCTGTACAGTATTATGCTAAACATTTGCAGAGTGGACTTCCTTTTGTTGAGGTCATATTAGACTGTAACATTATTATTAAAGAAGTCCATTCAACAAACAACATAAAACATATACATATCAAAGTTATTAGGTTAAAGTTGTCATTTCGGTGCATTCATAAAACGTAATTTCCTAAAATTTGGATATCTGAGATTGACAGACAAAATTCTCTATACTATATATACTAATTTAATGAGTGGACTTCCTTGATTTAAGCAATATATATGTATATTGAAATACGCTAAGTATAGTAGGTTAGAAGTTTAAAGGATAGGACTTTCATGTTGTGGACATATTAGACTGTAATAATATCATTAAAAATCATTCAACATGAAACATATCAAAATTATTAATTTAAACTTTCCACTTCGGTGCATGAATGTAACATAATTTTGGGATATATGAGATTTACTTAACATTTGAGAATGTACTAAATATAAAATCTTAAATTTTACATTTTAATCAGCAATCTATCAGAAATACTGGGATTGGTTATACTGTAAAGCCTTCAGAACCCCTGCAGTACTAAAACTGGGATCCAACAGGCAGTGAATATTCCATTTTGATTTAGTATAGATATTTTTTACATATTTTAAATTTTATTTGAATTCTTTTTATTTTGTATGATTCATATGTTATATTTTCCACAGACAGATAAATGAATGCCTGAACTGATATTTTATGGGTTTCAGATTTTACTTTCTATACAAAACAGATATCATAAATCATCTATAATTGTCTGACTGTGTGCATTGAACATTGGACGACGACGATAATGTCTCCAAATTCCCAACCGTAACTTAGGCTACGGGTCTCGCTTGACACTTCACATAAAAGGGCCTGTTAATTTATCTTGCACAGCTTCCTCATCATCATCATCATCTTCTTCATCATCATAATTATTAATTGTCCATAGCAAAGTAGGGAAAAACTACGAATTCAGAGTGTATGACATCTCATAATGCACGAAGTGTAATTCAAATCATCATCTAGAAAACAAAACCTTTTCGAATATCTAAAATTTATCTTCCAGCGACAAAACAAGCTAAGCTCTCTTCTCATGACTCTCCCAATATGGGAACCTATCTGTGCGAAAGCCAGGGTAAACTCTGGATCTACGCTTGACATGTATTTAATGCTTAAAAAAGGTATATTTACAGTATATTTATTTATAGAAAATAATGTTGCATTCTAGAACTATCAGGAATTAATGTACAGATAAAGGCTCCCGAGGGGGCATAGACACAAAAACCGCTTATCACTCAAATAACACGCATCATCTGCACTTTAGCAGCGTGTGCAAGTGACGCGTTCGCTGTAACAATGGAGCGGCTTTATTAAAACCTATTTTCTACATGATAAAACGTCTCTTTGTTATTTTTTTCAATTTCCAGACAGACCATAGTTTGCGGAACGTCATTCTAAAATGTAGGGTTGGAATATTTAAAATGCGTAGATGTGATCCCTAGCTGTTGAATCGAATCTCCCGAGTCATTCGCGTCGCTCGTTGCTGGACTTTTTCCAATTTATGAAAAATATGTTACCACACAGGACTACAATATTCTAGGGATTCTTAGTCACACACCGGGTTGGAAGTAATGTTTACAAGGGCGCCATCAGCCATCAAAGTCTGTTACTTAAAGGTAAATGTCATTTAGTCTTTATAAATTGCACAGATAGAAATTTTGAAATAGTAATGTAATCAAAAATTGGTTTAGCAACATAGTACAGTATATTGTATACCTACAGTAGTATAAAAATGTGTTGAATTGTCTTATTTTCACAGAAAGCAGCAGAAAATTAGAAACATTAATTCAGCTCGTCCATGACTAGAACATGTTGCTATAAGTGAAAATTTTTTTTTCTAGACATACTGCCTGTGTTATACTGACAAATTTGTATTTTTTTTTTGTGTTAATGTACAATAATGTATTGTTTAATTGTAAAACTCAATGCTTAAGGAAATGAAAGTTAGTGTAATACACGGCCTTTCCCTTTAATGCCCTCTCCAATTAAATACCAATTTGTTGAGACCAGTATCTGGAAATTGATCCTGTGTTGCCTAAGTAGATTAATGTGATTGGCTGCTATAAACTCTACTTCATCATTACATTATTCTCAGCCTTTCCTATCTGTATTATTATTGACTGACGTTAAAAAATATACTTTCTAAAAGCTAATTTAATGTTCTTTATGCCATAGTCAGCCTCATTAATGGTTTAACAGTTGATTATTTCAAAAAGACATGTGGCCGTGTTCACTTGTCCTTTTCAGTTAATATTGTAACAATAAAATTCAAAATATGGCATCTAGTTCTTCACAGTGTACTAATACCCTGTGTGCATTTTATGGCCCATGTGCTCACTTTCAGAAAGTAGTAGGGGTTGTCTTCCAGTGTACTTCCCAATCACCATTAGAAGGACCCCACTGGAATAGGTCTTCAGACTTTGTGGGTTATCCTTGGTGTTTACCCCAAATAAGTTCATCCATCCGGGTTTTGACCTTGCATTCCACTATGCATTATGCATATTGCAACACTTTCACTAAAACTGTTGTGTTTACAAACATTATGCTGATTTGACCATGGACACCAATAAAAATTCATTGACTAACTTTTTTGATCAGAAGTTTAATGTTTGTTTAAAACATATAAGCATCAAGTAGAATACTCAACTATGTTTTACTATACAGTAATTATAAATTATATTGACCACAACTTTTTGAAGGATGATTGTATCATAATTATACTGTAAATTATATTACAATAAATATTACAGTATCATGTATACAAATTTGATGATTATTTTTCAGATTGTCATTTAGTTCCATCTCCTGCTTCATCAATGTACTCCTTGAATGATGCCTGTTCATCGTATGAGCAAAGTTGTTTACACCAAGCTCCCCAACACAACATCAATACTCAACGAGTGACAACACCTCCATCCTATCCAGGCCAAGCCTGTCCACCATCACCTTTCAATATGACAGTAAAGTAAATGTTTTAGGTCAATAATTTCTTCTTTTTTTTCCTAATTTTTACGAAACTTTTTACATACTTTGTTAAAAGCGTGGCTCATCATTCTCTATCTAGAGAATTATAGCATTTATTATGTTTAAGTTAATATTTTCATATTTATAATAGAACCCAATTTAATATTAAACTACAGTTCTTTAACAGAGCTCAGATATTTAAGTTTTTAAGTTTATTTATTTGATCTAAATACCGTCAAACCTCAATTTGAAGCCCTGGGCTTCTTTCGAGATGGGTTTCTTTTCGAGGCTACTTTTGCAAACTAAAGAGGAGGCTTCAATTTGAGATGGGCTTCTTCTCAAGATTAAGCCCATTGGGCTTCTACTCGTGGTTTTGTGGTATATCAATACTAATTGCTTTCAATTATTGTACCACAAGACTCATTTTGTCACGATAGCTCACATATTCTTGGCAAAGGCTTATAAATTTTGCTGGTAATCAATACAAAATATTTTACTATAATTTTTGGTAAAAAAGTAACTAAATCAGCAAATTTGTATCTCATATGGGCACATCATGACTATATGGGCACATCATGACTATATATGGCCACATCATGACTATATATGGGCACATCATGACTATATATGGGCACATCATGACTGTATATGGGCATACAACAGTGTTTTGTCAAATGAAATTGCTTTGAACAATATCACATATTTTTGGATCCACACAAGGCACTGACCCCAGAGCATCACTGCTGTTCTTGTTACCAACGCAAAACTTCAAAAGCGTCTAGCATCGCCAGTTTTGAACGAACGTTCATCACTCTTTTTTTAAGTTGGACCTCAGGGTTGCCCACACACTTACAAAACAAAATAGGGGTTTGAGCAAGGACTGTACATTACTGCCATTACCACTAATAGTGCACGTTGCATGGATGGTTCGGTCGGTTTTTAAGGATGTGTTCTAATGAACTTATGTTGTGAGTTTGAATTGCATCTTGATATTCAGTTATAATTTTTTCCAATTTTAAGAAATTTTATTTTTTTCAATTTTAAAAATATTTTGATTTTGTATTAATTAAACATTCTAAATAATATTTTTTTGTTATTAGCTCTTCAAAAAAAACCCTAATGTAATAACTTGCCACCGTAATTTAAGCGTGGAGGAATGCGCGGACGAGTGAGCGGTTGCTGTTGTTTATTGTTGGTTGTTTTATTGTTGTTTATTTGTATGTTGTTGGGGAGATTTATTTTTTCTCTATAGTAATGCTTTACTGAGTTTTGACAGTTCTTGTAAATTTTACCTAATACTTTTTAAATTTAAACAGATTAAATTTTTGTGTTTTTTGATCATGGAATAAATAGGAAGAATTTGAAAAATCTACAATTGCAAATTCGATAACTAATTTGTTGTTTTGGCCCTATTGTAGTTTACCTAAATATATTTCATTTCTTTTTGTAATTTACTGTGAGAATTTCATCTGTTTCATCTGATTTTTTATGTGAATGCACTATGTATGTGCGTGTTCCATCGATATAAAGTGTTTTTTTATTAATAATAATTATTGTTATATATTGTACAAAATATATTTTTTTTTTTTAGATAGCCCACGTCAGTCATTGAACTTCAAATCAGATGTTTATAAAATCAATTTTACTGGATGTGGTTTTCTTGAATAATTCATCAGACTGTATTTCCGAGAAGGTATAAATGACAAAGTATTTATCTATTCATGTTTATTAATCTCTTTCCTGATTAGAATTTGTTCTTGCCATTGCTCAAGCTTTTCATGCTTAGACTATGTACTATAGATAACTAAAACTAAAACTAGGTTTTGCGACCCAATTTTGGGTCCCAAAACATTTTTAAAGGTCTCGAGACTGCTTCTGACTCAGTAAAGCATATTTCGAAATATAGTGAAAAATACTTCTACACAGCCGTAATACAAATGAATTAAATTAACCCATAGGTAGCTACGAAGATGAGAAAATTTATTGTCAACCCAAATCCTAGAAGAATCTGCGCCCATTGTTGCACTGTACGTCGCCAATTTCTTCAGGGATTGATAAGAATATTAAAATTAATTTGACAGGAACATAGCTCACTAATAACACGACGTGCCAGTCAACAAGTAATAGTTACACCGTGTTTAAAATGAGTTAATTCTATTCTTTTTTTTTAATTCGTTGGGGACGTGCAAGCTTCATCATATTTTTCAATTAGTCTTTACCCAGTTAACCTCGTCTAATTCAACTGCATAGGTCGAAAATTCGCCATTGTGTTCTTAAACTTTTGCATTAATAAACATTTCAAAATTACGAGTGTCGAATTATAATAGCATAGATTTTCCATAAAGAAAATAAAAAAAAAAACACCCGAAAAACAAAAACAATGCAATATGTAAGAAAACAGAAGCATTATGATTTCATTCGGCCCTTTTTAAACCCTGAATTTAATTATATCTTGTTTCACAATTCTAATCTTTTAATGTTCTTGTTTTATGTCGTTTCCTTTTCTTTGACACTGGGTAAAATAACGCATAGAGCTCAGACATAGCACAGTATCGTGCGCTCTAGAATTGGAAGACCATTACCATTATTGAGCTTGTGGCAAGTAATAGGCCAAAGTTAAGCTGCATTCACACTGGATCTACCGACATTTGGACCGCGTTTCCGATGCGTTGAATGCTAGCGTCCCTTAATCCTTAGGATATTAATCCGACTTCTGATCGGTTTGGTATGCAGTGCAGCT